TATCCATTTACACAACAGTTAGAAGAAGGTCAAGTGAAAATGCAATCAAGATTAGAGGAAGAAGAAGAAGCCAAAGCAGCTCTAATGAGCAGAATCCAAAAGCTTACCAAGCTCATACTCGTCTCTACCAAGAATTCTATTCCTGGATATTTGGGCGATATACCTACTCATCAACGCAGTCTCTCTGCTGGTAAAGATGATGTAAGTTTTCTGCTCAAACCAGTGATCATAAATTCTTGCTATTTCAGATAGGTAAACGGTTCTAGTGATTTGGTTAGTTCTTTTATCCATTTTGAGGTGTGCCCTAGTTTTCTAATAATTGGTTTTGATGATTTAACCTGAATAAGTTTCTATTTTGTTTGGTCAAAACTTCTTGTCTCTGGACCAAGTAACTGAAAATCTATCTGTTCCTTATTTTTCTCCTGCTGCAGGTTGCTTCCACATCTCAGAAGCTGTTTCAAAAACACAATGACTAATTATGTTATCTCTTTGCTTTTCAGAAATTCGATTCTCTACTGTTGGAAAGTGATCATCTGGGATCTCCATCTTCGACCTTGGCTCTTGTATCAGAAGGTTCTTTAGGTTTTAACCACAGGCGATCTTCTAGCAAGTTGAATGACGAAAACTCACCGGGTGCAGAATTTACTCAAGTGAGTAAATTATCCCAACGTTTCTGTTGAATGTAGAAAAATGGTATCTGATTGTTGTGGGTTTGTGGCGTTTTTGTAGGGTGTCATGACGCCAGATGAAATCGACCTTCTGGTTGAACAAGTTAAGATGCTTGCTGGTGAGATAGCTTTCAGTACGAGCACACTAAAGCGTTTAGTGGATCAGTCCGTAAATGATCCGGAAAACTCACAAACTCAGGTAATATAGTAGTACTGACCACCTGAAGTGGCGCATTTAACTTATTCTTAGCTAACTAAACTAATAAATTATTGCATGCAGATAGAGAATCTGGAACGCGAGATTCACGAAAAGCAAAGGCAAATGAGAGCCTTGGAACAGCTCATAATTGAGAGTGGTGAAGCTTCAATTGCCAACGCATCATTAGTTGAGATGCAACAGGTATTTAACCTCCACATCTCATTCACAGAGAGAACATGATGTTTGAGCTTTTCAAAGTCACTGGTTTAAGAGTAAACGATGATCTGCTAAGATATCTTGCTCTTTTGTTGTTTTCAGAAAGTTATGAGTCTGATGACCCAGTGCAATGAGAAGAGCTTTGAGCTGGAGGTGAATTTTTTTATATTTTTATTGAAAGTACCGCCTTGTTTTCTACATTAGCAAAATCAGAAGATTGATTATCTTCACCATATGCTTAAACTTGGTTCTACCTCTGTCACAGATCAAATCAGCTGATAATTGCATTCTCCAAGAACAACTACAGAAAAAGGTCCGTACATGTTTTTCTCGTATTGAAGTCGTGCACAATTTTCTTCTTTTTACTCCATTCTTCTTGCTTATATCTAATTCATCCTTTGAACATTGTTCTGCGGAAAAATGCTTCTTATCACACTTGCTCCAACTATGCAGTGTACCGAGAACAAAGAACTACATGAAAAGGTGAATCTTCTAGAGCAACGCTTGAATGCAGTATCTAGTGAGAAATCCTCACCATCTTGTTCCGATAAAGCGGTATCTGGAGAGTATGCAGACGAACTAAAAAAGAAAATACAATCGCAGGTAAATTTACAAGCATACATTCTCAGTTCTCACAAGTATCCTAATAAATACCTCTGCGGATCAATAAATATCAAGTAACATAGATTTATGCATTTATTTGTAAATCCGAACCTCTCTTTATGCTAACATAAATCTCATTCTTACATGGATGTTTATGTTTTGTATTTAGGAAATTGAGAACGAAGAGTTGAAGCTAGAACACGTGCAAATTGTGGAAGAGAACAGTGGATTACGAGTACAAAATCAAAAACTAGCTGAAGAAGCTTCATATGCTAAGGAGTTAGCCTCTGCTGCTGCTGTTGAGCTGAAAAATCTGGCTAGCGAAGTAACAAAACTCTCACTACAAAACACAAAGCTAGAAAAAGAATTAGCAGCTGCAAGAGACTTGGCTCAAACGCGTAACCCCATGAACGGAGTTAATCGCAAGTATAACGATGGGGCAAGGTCAGGAAGAAAGGGAAGGATTTCCTCAAGTAGGTCAAGTGGAGATGAGTTTGACGCATGGAATCTAGACCCAGAAGATCTTAAAATGGAGTTGCAAGTAAGGAAACAGCGAGAGGTGGCTCTTGAGTCTGCATTGGCAGAGAAAGAGTTTATAGAAGATGAATACAGGAAAAAAGCAGAAGAGGCAAAGAGAAGAGAGGAAGCTTTAGAAAACGATCTGGCAAACATGTGGGTACTTGTTGCCAAGTTGAAGAAAGACAATGGTGCATTGCCTGAACCCAATGGCACTGACCCTGGAAGAGAATTAGAGAAGAGTCAAACCCATGCGGTTCTGAAAGAGAGACAAGTCTCGAGTGCACCAAGACAACCTGAAGTAGTAGTAGTAGCTAAAACCGAAGAGACACCAAAAGAGGAACCACTCGTTGCTCGTCTCAAGGTAAATGTAATGAGATGAGTTTTCTACATTTACCTGTGAACAGTCTTTTCTTTCAAATATAACAAGAATTTGTTGTAATAATGATACAGGCACGAATGCAAGAAATGAAAGAGAAAGAGATGAAATCGCAAGCGAATGGAGACGCCAACTCTCACATTTGTAAAGTATGTTTTGAATCTCCCACTGCGGCAATTCTACTCCCTTGCCGTCATTTCTGCTGTAAGTCATAACTTTATCTCCATGAAATCTCCTTTCTCTTCCTTTATCAAACAGTTGTATTAAAAAGATGAAAATCTCTGATTCATTGTTACAGTATGTAAATCCTGTTCTCTTGCTTGCTCTGAATGCCCAATTTGTCGCACAAAGATCTCTGATCGGCTCTTTGCATTTCCGTCTTAACCAATCAAAAGGTAACCTTTCTTGCAAGTGGATTGTCTATCACAACTGAATATGAGAAACTCAAAGTTTAAGTTTGGTTTTTGATATGTAGAAAACAAAAGCTGACTTACCCAATTCTTTAAGCTTTTTAGGTTCAGTTTTTGGATTCATTATTGGTTAGATTTATTAGTGTCAACCGGATTGAACACTATTTTGGTTATGGACCAATGTCAGATGTTGTTAAAACAGATCAGATAGACTTTTAAAAATATGTAAATATTGATTTAACTTGCCTACTTATGCAGGTCTCTAAGAACTGTGGGTGAAAAGCCTGTTGCTATATATTTTGAGGAGAGAACAGGTTGGGATTTTTTTAATTAGTTTTTGGCTCTTTTGTATGTAATATTTATGTCTATCAGTTTATGCTTATATTTATATTTATCATTAAAAAATGGGGAAAAAAAGAAAAATTAAAACAGATACGTGTGGACATACATAACGAACGAGATTCATTTCTAAACCCCAAACTTTTCTATTACAAAACAAACAAAAATTAATATTGGAGCAAACTCTTTTATGTTTTTTTTTGTTGTGGTCGCTTATTGTACATCATATACCGAAAGATTGCATTGGCAGGAGTGACTTTGGGATGACCTTCAAAAACGTAACCAATGAATTCTTTTAAGATTTTTCAATCTCTTTTTTTTATGTAACCATGATATATACGTAGTACTATTTCAACCTTCTTAATAGCAAACCAGTATCCCGAATCAAATTTGACTCTATCCAAACAACCCTACTTTAAATAAATAAATATTCGATCACAAGCAAGACTGAATCACGAATCTTGTGATTGTTTAATGACTTCTATTATCTTCGATAACTGATTCCTTCCAATATATTGTGACATAGGTGTCTAATCCATTGCCATTGATTTGTAACTAAGTTTTTCTCATAAGAAATTTGTAAAGAACATTTTTTTTTCTCTAGACCCGATTAATTCAAATAGGACTAATACACCTTTAGGCCATGATTGAAAATAAGGTCTTAAAAAACAACAACCAAAAACCATTACAAAAACTAGTTAAAAAAATTCACAAATTGGATGTACAAAGGCTGTTCACAAAGATTCAAATTCTTCATCCCTTGGTGGAACATAATGCAGTTCGCAAACATCAAAATCAAGATGAAGTCTATACCACAAGCTTCTGCCCAATCTTCTCCATCATTCTCTTCTTCGACATAATCAAATGTATTAGTTTTATAAATTATATATGATATGTTGTTGGTTTTAGTAGTTTAAAACATTTTTAAGTTTTACATAATTAGATTTCATTTACTCAACTCTCAGAGATTTAAAGTTTTGTCTTCCAAATGGCTATATTGGAATCACCAAACTCTAGACATCCCTATCAACATCACGAAGGTTGCTGCAAACAACACTATTACCATTGATTTGTCTCCGGCTGTTGAAGTAAGAATTGATGAAGAATGGGAGGATTTAGCTGAGATCGATGTGAAAGGTGGCAGATTGCAAATAGGTAGTTTGACTATGTGCAAGGAAATGATGTTGAAGATTGGGCTGTTTGGGAAATCGATCTTTTTATTCCTGATTTTGAAGATGATATTGTGGATATCAAAATGGTGATCAAACTACAAGAATACTGGTGGTCACTATGTGAGGACGCCCCAATAAGTTGATTCTTCCTAATCCAAAATAAACTAAACGGTGAAGAACCAAGTTTAGGTTCTTAGTCCAAAACTCTGTGAACAACCTTATTGGTTTTTTCATCCTTGTTTACATTCGAGTTTTTGTAATCGGCGGGTTTAGAGAAAAAAAAATGGTTTTCTTCAAATTTCTTATGATAAAAAACCTAGTTACTCGGTATTTCAAATTTGCATGTTATCGAAGATAAAAATGATTAAATAATAATAACAAAGTCCACACCGATTGAAATAGTACATATATATTCAACTTTAATGGATCAATAAACCCATTTTAATGTGTTATATATTGACTATCCAATAGATTTGAGTCAATTTTATGTTGACAAACAAACAAAAAACTAATTATTATTAACGTAAATATAGAAACAAAAAAAAAAGTACTAAAAACGAAAACAACAAGTTGGTTTGGATTCATGATTACAAACCCCAACTTCAAAGAAAAAAGACTATAATTCAACAAAAATATTTAAGAGAAGGGTTTTTGTTCCCAAAACCCTTGATGATAACCATCATAAACCCTATAAGACTCACTGTTATTGTTATTCGTAATAATGTTATCCTCATAGGAGACACAAGAAGGGTGTTCAAGCAAATCTTCCACTCTCCAACCCGGTAATGTCTCCATCAAATACTCCGATATACTACCCGTACAACCTGATCCAGACCCTGAGTCGCTCACTTGATGGTAGTTTTCCTCTATCCCATAATAGCAATTGCTCGTGGTCGTTGAAGGAGAGCTCGTAAATACCTCATTGGAAGCAGAGCTAGGGACCTCGCTCGATACTGATTTTGGTCGGGTTTTGGCTCGACCCAATGCAGCAGCGGAGTTGGAATTGGAGGCTCTTGGGTATGCTGACGGGGAGGCAGAGATCTTGACGCCCGTAAGGAGGAATCTATTGTGTTTCTTAGTGTGCTCATTAGCTTGATGTATTGGAATGTCACATTCTCTGCATAGTATTGCTCTGTCTTCTTGGCAAAATAATAATGCACGCCTCTCCTGTCATATGTATAAACCATTTAGTAATAGATAATCAAGAAAACTCTTGTTTTGTATCCATCTATTTTTATAAAATATTTATCTGCTAGATTTGACCCCCTTTTCCCCCACGACCTTTTCAAAAAAGATATTGCTTTTATTGTTATTTTATTTAATGAACGGCAAAAAGAAATATTCTTTTCTCCACAACTTACCTTCCCAAAGAAGAAAGTATTTTAAAATCGTAATAACGAATACTCGATTTGATTGGTTAATATCTTAAGTTTGATAAGTGTGTGACCAAATAATTCATCAAGATGTTTGGTAAGCTCAATCTCTGATCTGTTTTTGAGAAAAGTGATTTTTGGTCGTGGCCATAAAATTCTTCGTCAAAAATTGTGTGAACCTTCAAATTTGCCAGGAAAGTAAATAAACTTGGAACAATATTCGTTGAAAGAAAGGGAAAATAATCATTCTCACCAACCAACAAACAAATCTCAGAGAGAAAAACAAAAGTGACTCAGATCACCCAAAACATCGATTCATGAAACCAGATTTCATCAATACTAACATATCTAAAAGCTCACAAATTTTCCAAGTAAAGATTATATTTTTATCAAGAAAGGCCAAAAAAAGAAGAAGAGAGAAGTGTTAAATTTTGTTGTTACCCCGCAAATATCACAAAGAGGAGCATCTTTGAAAGTAGGAGAAGTGAGAGAGAACCGGAGATGTTTTCCGGCGAGCTTATTGGCGAAATGAACATGGCGATCGCAACCATTACAAAGAGCTGCTTCATCTGCACAACAAAAGACCGATGCTTCTTCTTTATCACACACATCACACCAAATCTTCATCTTTCTATTTTCTATAAAAAATTTAGTTTCTTGAATATCACAAAATTGCTTCTTCACACACAATCTCTCAACTTGTACCTTTGGACCAGTACTATATAGTGGTATTTATGTAGATATTCATGTATGTAGAGGTTGATGGGGTATGAGTGTGGGCAAAAGGGTAAGAATAATGTGTTGTTGGCTTTATAGATAAGCAGCTTAGGTTTCCTTTGTCCTTTTTAACTCTTCCTCTCATTTTCTTGATTGATAGCTACTCTCTCCTTTGCTGTTAATGCCCCCAAATTGACTTGTTTTGGTTTTGGTTTCACACCCGGTTTGGTTTGGTCTGGTTTAGAATTCAGGGGAACTTAAATAAAAGCATACCGGGTATGTAAATCGATTAGTATATGTTTTAATCACAAATTACATTGAATTTCGGTTTCATAGAAGGAGGCAGAGATTGATAGCAACTTGACATAGTAGTATGATTTGAAGTTAATTAATTTGTGTTCATCTAATAACGCTGAGAATTAATAATTGTTCTATATCAATTGGTGGCTTTTTTTTTGGGTTCACATCAATTGGTGGCTAAGCTCTCGCTTTCTTTACTTTAAATGTGTCTTAATGCTTTGACAAATATTCTTTTTTTTTTTTATGACAAATATTCTTAGTTAAATCATAAATGTGTATTAATACTTTGACAACTATTTCTAAATTGATACTGTAGTTTTGTAAGTTCTTAAAAATCACATATAAACTTATGGGTGATTTAGGTGAAGGGAAAAAACCCGAAAAAACCGCCATGTATTTTTTTTTTGGCCGTTTAATACGCGTGTTATTAAAGTTGGAATAAAAATGCTTGGTTTAATTTCAATTGCCTTTTAAAATCGTCGTGTTTTAAAAATTGGTATAATCCTACACCCGCGTTAACAGACGTTAACTCTGCTAACAGAATGGCTAACCGCGGTTAAACCTTAACCCAACATCGTTAGCTGAAACCCAAATAAAGACACTGTTGCCCCTAATCGATTTTGGGAGCATAGAACCCTAAATTCTCTCTAAATTCTTTCTAAATTCTCTCTATCTTCTCTTCATCTTTACAAAAATGATGAGCCAAAGTTCTGGTTCTGGGTCTGATGCAAATTCAATTAGCCGTAGTTGGGGTCCTATTTGCAACTGTGGTAAAGCAACAACGGTTACAAAGGCATGGACAAATGAAAATCCGGGTAGAAGATTCTTCAGATGTGGTGTTCATGGCTTCATCAATTGGGCAGATGAAGAGAAGCCATTTGGTTGGCAAAAAGTGAGCTTGTTGGAGGCGAGAGATGAGATTCGTCAGCTAAAAGAGTCTGTAAAGGCAATGAAGGAAGCCAAGGAACATACGGTGAGTATCTCAGGGTCTGCAAATTACGATAATCTGAAGAAACTCGAGGAAGAGAAGAAGAAGCTTGAGGAAGAGCTGAAGAAAATGGAGGAAGAGAAGAAGAAACTGGAGGAAGAGAAGAAGAAACTGGAGGAAGAGAAGAAAAAGCTTGAAATTGAAGTTATGGGTTGTAATGAGAGGGAAAAAATGCTTAGGCAGTTGATTGTGTTGTCTTGGGGATGCTTCATTGTTGTTGTTGCAATGTGCCTTGGAATGGGAAACAAGTAAAAGTCTAGTTTGTTGTCTTATGGTGATGTTGTTTGTTGTCTAGTTTACTGTCTTATGGTGATGTTGTTTGTTGTTTTGTTGTTGTAAGACTCTTTGTTTGTTGTTTTGTTGTTGTAAGACTCTTTGTTTAGTTGTAAGACTCTTTGTTTGAACTATCATAATCCTAACATTTCATTGCAACAAAAGAACCGTTTAGTTTGAAATGGTATAGATCCCACCCAAAACAAATCAGGATCCTACCAACCAAACACATCATCCTACATAGATATCATCCTAAAAGTCAATCAAGACACAAAAGAGAACACAAAAGATAGAAAAGTCATCCTACTTCTCAGGTCGCCAAACATCAAAGACCTTATCAGTCCAAGGGGACATAAAAAAGACAGGAGGTCTTGGAGCTTCATCGGATCCTTTACCACGGCCTTTGCCTTTACCCTTGTCTTTATTCTTGCCTTGACCATTTTTAACACCAGGAGGACGTCCACGAGCACGGCCTCTACCACTTGGATTAGCTGCTGGAGCACTTGGAGCAGCTGCTGGAGCACTTGAATGTTGTGGATTTTGTGTGGATTGACTCTGACAACAAGCTGGTATAGATTGGCTTTGAGCAACAGGTGGTGTGGACTGGCTTTGAGCATTCCTCCACCTCTTTGGTGCATTGTTGATGCTCCATGGATCATCATCATCCTATAACAAATCTGATTAGTCATGGTTAAAACAAATGTTGCTTTTACAAGGTAAAGTCAGAACACTTACAAGAGACTTTCTTGGTCTTCCCCTTTTGCGTGGAGGAGCTGGCTGCACAGTTGCGTTCTTGCAGGTTCCTTTATTGTGACCAATCTGCTTACAGTTACTACATGTGACTGTTTTTCCTTCTCTTGTTAGCTTTGTAGGATTAGATGATGATTCAGTTGGCTCCTTAATCCTATCAAACTTCTTTGGTCTTCCTCGCTTCTTTCTCTTATCTGGCACTTCAATTGATCCTTTGTTTGTTCTCCTCCATAATCTTTCTCCATTCACAGGTTCTATGTTGTCTTTGTAGGTAGCTTTCCAAACATGTGTAGCTAGATGTCTATCAACATAGCTACATGGCAAGCAAACTCAATAATCAATATACAATGTTTAACATACAATGTTTTAACATTAGAGACTGTTAAATGAGATAAAGATTTAGTAACACTTACTCTTCTGGATCGCGGTTCTTCTCTGTAATAACAAATATAGCATGTGGACAAGGAATGCCTGTGAGATCCCACTGTCTACAAGCACACTCTCTAGTCAAGAGGTTCACCGAGTAACTGCCACTACCCTCTAACACCTCATATTTGTTCTCACCACTTTTAAGAATTTGGCAAAACTTAGCTGACTTGCGGTTGCCTTCAAGAATCTGCATTATCTTTGGTGGGAACCTTGTCTTACATTTCTTTGTCTTGTCACACAGCTTCGATATCCTCTTCATACAAGATCTCCTGACCTCCTCGAGCATATTTATCACTGGCAGCTTCCTTGCATCCTTAATGGTTTTGTTGAAACTCTCAGACAGATTGTTGCAAACATCCTCACAGCTAGACTGACAACTGAAGAATGCTCTGCACCATGTTCTTGGATCAGTTTTCAACAAATCCTCATGGGCTTCTGGATCATATGATCTCAAAGCATCCATGTTGAATGAGTAATCCCCTTCTGTAGCACTGTAAGCAATAGCCCAGAAGTAGCTTTCATGGCAGTAATCACCATACACCTTCCTCCAGTTAGCATAAATGTGTCTAGCACAATGCCTATGTTCTGCTTGTGGCAACAAATCAGCCACAGCATTGATCAAACCTTTCTGCTTATCAGATATAACAGTGAAACCATCTCCAACACCCAAATCTAAATCCTTCTTCAGCTTCTCAACAAACCAGGCCCAAGATTCATTGTCTTCTACTCTTACTATTGCCCAAGCAATAGGATAAATCCTATTGTCTGCATCCCTACCAACTGCAGCTAGAATCTCACCTTTCAATTCCCATTTAAGAAAAGCCCCATCTAGTCCAATAATTGGCCTACAACAACTCTTCCATGTCCTTCTTAACTTCTTAAAGCATATATAGAACTTGTCAAATTGCTGCTTACCATTAGCTTGAGGGATGGTGAGAATCTCTGTGTGTGTCTCCTTATTAGACCTCTGCAGCTCACCTTCATAATCCCACAGCTTTGCAAATTGTTGTTTTTGTGTTTGAATCACCAAATCAAACGCGATCCTTCTTGCTTTTTGGCATATCCACTTAGACACTGAAATCGTGTACCTCATCATAATCTCATCCTTAATGTCAGTCCAACTCAGTGTTGCCTCCTTCTTGCTTCATCTCTGAATCA